TTCAGCCCCCCGCGCCCCCGGCGATCGCGGGAGCCCCTGGGGGCGCCGAGCCTGGCGGGCACCGCTCCGCCCGCAGAGGGGGCGAGGACCGCGCCGCGGGCACCCGCCGCCCGCCGGGCTTGACAACAAAGAGCCGCCTGCCGCACACCGCCATGCAAATGTGATTTGGAGCTGCCGCTGAGGGGCCAGCCAATGGGATCGGCCCTCATTAGCATACCCCAGTGACGGCGCGGGGACCTCTCCTTGCCAGCCGCCAATGGAAGTAGCCTCCTTAGCATAATGGGGCTCTGGGGTTTTCTCCGTCCCCCCGCTGGGGCATGGAGCTGCGATGGCTGGCAGAAGGTAACCACATGCCTCCTAGCCAGATGGGCTCGGAACTCGTGGCTCTGGCTGAGGTGATATCTTTCATTACACCAACTAGAGATTTGCAAAATAAATAAATAAATTCTTTGGGAAAAAACAAAACCAAAAAAAAAAAAATAAGATAATGTTTTTGCGATTATTAGCTGGTCCAATAAAAGGTATCATTTCTGAACCAAGAGTTCTAGAGTTTGGCATTTCTTTCTTTGCAGGCTTTCAGGCACAGGCGCCCTTCATCAGCAGGGATCCTGGTTTTCTGATTTAAAAAAAAACAAATTTTGGTTGAAAATGTAACCCCAAATCCACATTTTTCTGTCATGTAAATGAAACACCACACACATATACACACGTATTATATATCAGTGGTGTTTCATTTACATCACACACACGCGCGCACACACACATATATATATATACACACACACACATACATACATATATATATATGTATATGTATCTACAGAGCTGACCTGAGCAGGGTATGGGGCCCAGGGCGTGGGGAGCCCAGGCAGGGTGTGGGGTCCAGGGCCCGCTCCGAACCGGGCCACAGCTCCGAAGCTGCCACTGCCAATTCCAGCGACCGCATCAGCAGCAGGGAGTAGGGAGCGAGCGGCTAGATGCAGAGCCACCACTCTGCCTGGCTCCACGCCACCACTGCTCTGCTTCACTCTGTAAAGCCCCCCAAAGCGTGGGGCCCAGAGTGGTCGCCCCAATATGCCTCCCCCTATGGACAGTTCTGTATATATATGTGTATGTATATATATACTATCTATCTATATCTAAAGCTAAATCTACATCTATCTCTAGATATAGATATATAGATCTATCTATCTATATATAGATATAGATATAAATATCTATATAGATATAGATATAAATATCTCTATTTATATTAATAAATATTTATATTTATTAATATAAATATATATAAATAGCTATATATCTATATATCTCTATATATAGATATAGATATTTATATCTATAGCTATATATACATATAGTTAGATCTATATATATATATATCTCAATAGATAGCTAGATAGATAGTGATGTTTCATTTACATAATGGAAAAATGTGGATTTGGGTGTGTTGTTTTTTTTTAACTGAAAATTGGGGACTTTTTTAAATCAGAGAAAACCAGGGTCCCTGTTCATAAGGCACAGGAGATTACAAGGATTGTAAAAGTTTTAGGTAGAGATGAGAATCGGGAATTGCACTAGCTATGTCTGTATAGGACATTGGTACCCTCCTTGCTCAGGCCAGGACTCGTTGGGGTACAAGGGACTTCTTAACCCAGGCTCCAAAGCCCAGCTCTTCCAGCTGTGTGTAAGCTCCCAGCCTAGAATCACAGAAAATTAGAGTTGGAAGGGGCCTCAGGAGGTCATCTAGTCCAACCCCTGCTCAAAGCAAGACGAGCCCCAACTAGGTCATCCTAGCCAAGGCTTTGTCTACCAGGTCTTAAAAAGAATAGAGTGCACAACCTCTCTGAGTAACCTGTTCCAGTGTTTTACTACCTAGTGAGAAAAATAATCCTAATAACTAACCTAAACTTCCCTTGCTGCAAATTGAGCCTGTTGCTCCTTGTTCTGTCATCTGCCACCACCATTGTGGACAGTTTAGCTCCATCCACTTTTGAACCTCCCTTCAGGTAGTTGAAGACCAGTATTAAATCCTGTCTCAGTCTTCTCTTCTCTAGACAAAATAAGCTCAATTCCCTCAATTGCCTTCCATAAGGACAATAAGGGTCTTTATAGCTGAGACAACTGCTTTTCAACCTTTTTGCACTTGTGGACCCCTAAAAATATTCAAAAGAAGATGCAGACCCTGTTTAACTGTAAGTGTGGGTATTCACATGCTTTGATTGATTGTCATCATCTTTCACGGACCCCTTAGACATACCCTATAGACCCCCGGGGGTCTGCAGACTACAGATTGAAAACCACAGATTTAGAGAAGCAAGGGACAGCTGGACAGACCTCTGCCTTGACAAAGGCTCTTACGCCATGTCCACACGAGCACAGACATTTGTTTCCCCAGGGACAAGTAGCAGCAGTACACCTTGTGCTGCTACTACTTGCTCCTGGGGAATGCCCATGCCATGCGCCCTCTGGCACAGGGCAGATTACCACAGGTGGGGTAAGAGGGGTTGGAGCCAGCAATTGTGCTGGGCACAGCAGCCTTACCTGGGGTCCTGTGGGGCAGGGAAGCTACAGCCATGGCACTCCTGCAGCTGGGAGCCTGGCCAGCAGCCAGAGCATGGCTCTGGCTGCCTAGGCTCTGGTTTTGGATAGCATGCATTGCCACCATGTGTGCCCTGTTGCTCTTTTTCCACATGGTGTTTTTTGACCCCAGGATCTCCAGAAAGGGCCTAAGCAGGAGCAGACACATCCTGCAGACCAGTGCCTGAATGCACAGGTGGTATTGCCAGCAGCGTTTGCCTTCATTGACCAACGGGATGATGTTCCATGTAGAAGGATTGCTGGGAAGAGATGGGATCCACTTGATGAGGAGAGGAACGAGCATCTACACAGACAGTCTTGTTAACCTAATGAGGAGGGCTTTAAACTAGGTTCACCGGGGGATGGAGACCAAAGCTCTGAGGTAAGTGGAAAAGTGGGTGACCTGAACGAAGAGCAAGCAGGAGGAGGCAAGATGGGAGGTGTTGTCATTCTTCCTGAGAAATCAGGGCAATTGACTAATTATCTTAGATTCCTGTACATGAATGCATGGAGCCTGGGAAACAAGCAGGAAGAATTGGACATCCTTGCACAATCATGGAACTATGACATGATTAGAATAAAAGAGACTTGGTGGGATAGCTCTCATGACTGGACCACTGTCATGGATGGGTATAAACTGTTCAGGAGGGACAGGCAGGGGAGAAGAGGAGGAGGAGTTGCCCTTTATGTAAAAGAGCCATATGACTTCTCAGAGCTCCAGTATGAAACTGGAGATAAGCCTGTTGAGAGTCTCTGGGTTAGGGTCAGAGGAGTGAGCAACAAGGGTGATGTCATGGTGGGGTTCTGCTATAGACCATCAGGCCAGGTGGAAGTGGTGGATGAGGCTGTCTTCATACATCTAGCAGAAGTTTCCCAGTCACAAACCCTAGTTCATATGGGGGACTTCAATCACTCTGACATATGCTGGGAGGGCAATACAGCAGTGGGAAGGCAATCCAGGAAGCTTTTGGAGAGTGCAGGGGGCAACTTCCTGATGCAAGTGCTGGAGCAGCCAGCTAGGAGCCATGCTGTTCTTGACCTTCTGCTCACAAACAGGGAAGAACTGGTGGGGAATGTAGTAGTGAATGGCAACTTGGGCAGCAGCAACCACGAGCTGATTGAGTTCAGGATCCTGAGGAAAGTAAGAATGGAGAACAGCATAGTAAGAACCCTGGACTTCAGAAAAGTAGAATTCAACTCACTCAGGCAATTGATGGGCAGGATCCCCTGGGAAGCTGGTCTGTTGGGAAGAGGTGTCCAGGAGAGCTGTAGTTCAAGGAAGCCTTATGGAGAGTGCCAAAACAAACCATCCCAATGTTCAGGAATATTAGCAAGTATGGCAGAAGACCAGCTTGGCTTAGCAAGGAATTCATCAGTAAGCTAAAACACAAAAAGGAAGCTTACAAGAAGGGGAAACTTGGACAAACAACTAGGGAAGAGTATGGGAGTATTTTTTGGGCATTCAGGGATAAAGTCAGGAAAGCCAAAGCACAGTTGGAGTTTCAGCTGTCAAGGGATAAGAAGAGGAACACAAAGGGTTTCTACAAGTATGTCAGTAACAAGAAGAAGATTAGAGAAAGTGTGGGTCCCTTACTGCATGGGGGAGGCAACCTAGTAACAAAGGATGCAGAACAGGCTGAAGTACTCAATGCCTTTTTCACCTCAGTCTTCACAGGCAAGGTCAGGTCCCAGAGTACTGCACCAGGCAGCACAGTTTGGAGAGGAGGGTAGCAGCCAACAGTGGTGAAAGAACAAATTAGGGACTATTTAGAAAAGCTGGACTTATACAAGTCCATGGGGCCAGATGGGATATATCCCAAGGACAAATGTGAAGTGCTGCACCTAGGGAGGAAAAATGTCCAGCACACCTACTGCCTAGGAAATTACCTGCTCGGTAGCACGGAAGTGGAAAGGGATCTTGTAGTCCTAGTGGACTCCAAGATGAACATGAGTCAGCAGTGTGATGAAGTCATCAGAAAAGCTAACTGCACTTTATCGTGCATCAGCAGATGCATGACAAACAGAGCCAAGGAGGTGATACTTCCCCTCTATCAGGCACTGGTCAGACCGCAGTTGGAGTACTGCATGCAGTTTTGGGCACCACACTTCAAGAGAGATGTGGATAACCTGGAGAGGGTCCAGAGAAGGGTCACTCGTATGGTTAAGGGCTTGCAGGCCAAGCCCTACGAGGAGAGACTAGGGCGCCTGGACCTCTTCAGCCTCCTCAAGAGAAGGTTGTGAGGCAACCTTGTGGCAGCCTATAAATTCATCATGGGGGCAGAGAAGGGAATTGGTGAGGCTCTACTCACCGAGGCGCACCTGGGGGTGACAAAAAATAATGGCCATAAGCTAGCAGAGA